AGCCCCTCTGAAATGACATTGATCACCTAATTGTTTGGAGGAAATGGGAGGATTCAACAAAATTGGAATTGGAGAAAACTGGCGCCCACTGCTGGACTGTCTACAAACAGTGTGGTAGATCAGTACAGGGAGTTAGCAATTGTCTCTCAACTGTGGAGGAGCAGATTGGTCTTAAATGGCAGTGTATGAACTCTGAGTTGGAGGGTCATTTCTAGAATTGACTGCCTCCAAACTGACTAAATTTTGCTCCCAACTAGTACTGGTGAGCCAAGTAGTATCATCTTTAATGCCAGGGAATGATGTGCAATGCATTTCATTGTTTCAGCTAAAGATTTACATGAGGCATGGTGAGCTGCCCTTTTAATGACCTAAGCAGTTCTGGATCCCAATCCAGGTTTGATTAGATTAACAACCTGTCAACCATGATGATTGGAACAATAAGTCTTACAATAAGAACTTATGGAAGAAAAGCAAACTTTTTGTAAATATGATTTTTTGGTAAAAAAATCCATATACTCATGGCTTCTTCATGTTTGATTCAGATCTGGGATTTGTATTAGATTCAGTAGATTTGGTCAAGGAACCAGACTAACTTTACAGAAGTACAACAGTCACTTTAAACTGCACATATTTGTTCAGGCAAAATGTCCGCCTGATCAAGCTGTTGCATATAAAATTTTCTAAAAAGGGATGTCTAACAATAAGCCAGTTATCAAGTTTTAATTTTACTGAAGAAGAAAAGGAATATTCAGATTCTTGATGGATAAAATGCAGGAAGGGCAACAGTTACATTTATTGGATATCGTGTTGAATTTAGTATATCTCATTGTGAGAGAGAAAATAGTTGTCAGCATGTGAACTTGAAAAAAAAAAGCCAAGGATTATGACAAGTTTAGAGATAGAAGCCATTGAGCTCCTTAGGGTTGGATGTTTAGTGTTTGAAACTGTAATTTAGGTAATTAAGGTTTAAGTGTGCTTTAGAAACTTTTTAGTTGAACATACAGTTACTGTTGCTGCAAGTCTTGAGTCACACTTCTGAACTTTTTAAATGCACATTTTCCAAATACATAAATACTTAAAATACATACATTAATCAAGAAATCTGCCCCAACGTTTTCTGATCCCAAGAGGCTTTCAAACAGGACCCAATATACAGACTTTGTTTGAAACAGACTGAGCCAATTCATGGAGCTCAACAATGTCTCTTTCTCCCAGTTCAACTAGGAAGGGAGGCATATACCCTCAAGCCATCTCATCATGGATAAGTGGGCGGTATGTATGGCTAAGTGGGCGGTATGTATGGCTAAGTGGGTAGCATGTATGGCTAAGTGGGTAGTACTTATGGCTAAGTGGGTAGCATGTATGGCTAAGTGGGTAGCATGTATACATGCCTAAGAGGGTAGCATGTATGGCTAAGTGGCTAGTACTTATGGCTAAGTGGGTAGCATGTATACATGCCTAAGTGGGTAGCATGTATGGCTAAGTGGGTAGCATGTATGGCTAAGTGGGTAGCATGTATACATGCCTAAGAGGGTAGCATGTATGGCTAAGTGGGTAGCATGTATGGCTAAGTGGGTAGCACTTATGGCTAAGTGGGTAAACATGTATGGCTAAGTGGGTGGTATGTAATGCATGACATACCACTGAAACAGTCTCTTCTGATGAAGACATTTGCTTAAGAAATAAGAGCAATCTCTGCTAACCTTCCCTCTGATCATAATGTGTCTATCTGAGATATTGAGGCAGTTGATTAGCATGCACAGTCAATCTCCTCAAATTTTTTTTCTTCAAGACTTGACTCCACATGGATTTGGTAGGCCCAGTCTCAGTTGCACAAACAGCTATCAGACCCAATTGACATCAGCACAACCTATGGATGAATATCCTGTGCAGCTTTTGCTGGATTCACCTGGATATTCTCTGTGGCAAGAAGAGCTCATTATTCTTCATTCCAAAACATTAATGGATGATAAATGGCAAGAGTTATTGCACTATATTACATAGATGGAAAAGATGAATTTTCATGTAATGGATGGCTGGATCAGGAAGGTAGTAGGGCTTGTATTTCTAAAGTATTCTAAGAAAAATATAATTTACTAAAACTGATTTTACCTTTTCAAACATTTTATGGCAAATGTTGCATGCCTGACAGCTAGTTCTACATCACCATTCACACCAGACCAATGAAATTCTACCAATACCTTGCTAGTTGTCTTTCTCCTACACAATTGACCTATCCTACTGGATATATGCACCACAGGACCTGAATTTCTGATGGAGAACAAATTAAAAAAATGTTCTTCCCTCCAACAAGGTAAACTGACCATGCATAAGCCCTTCCCTTCACACAAATTTAAATGTGCCCTGCAATTATAATTTTTTCCTGCTACCAGACATGATTTTCTCCATGTTTAACCTCAAGGACAAATCATGCTGGTACAAAAGAATCATCATGCAAAATATCAATCATGGCTTCCAGATCCTTCGATTTGCACAGCAGCTTTTTCCCTGTTTGAGCCTTTTACCTAGTTTCAACCCCCTGTGAAATAGGAAACCCAAAATCATACTTTAGAAATCATACATTTGTTGGGAGTCTACGCCTTCAACTTTCAAATGGGTAACAATGGTTAAGTTGTTTTTAGCAATGTCCTTGCACAATGCTTCGCCAGTTCCAGTCAGGAAAGATTTCTATCCACATAACAGAAATGCGATGAATTGTTTGGTCTGACAACATAAATGAGGATTTCCAACCACACATCTGGTTATCCTTAATCATCATGCTTTCTGCCTCCAGACCAAACCCTGCTTTCAATAGCAGCCAGCACTCTCTGGACAAATCCCTTACATTTAGAACAATTAGGTGAGATGTGACCCCCATCCTTACATGTGTAACATTGCCTGTCCTTACAATTTGTGCTCTTGGTAGATTGAATATTTCCACCATTGTTTGTACTAAGTTTTTGTGGTTTTCTGGGTCTCTCCATCTTATCTTCCTTTTGGCAATTTTTGGCCAATTGTCATTAAAGACTCAGAAGATAACATGACAAGCTTTTTATTTCTTTATTACCTATAACACTTCAAATGATGTGTGTTTGTCCTGAAACTTACTATATTTCCAACAATAAGGTAATCAATTAACAGCTTCTCACATATACATGTTGGCTGTTTTTAAACAACTTATCTGCAATGCATCATCACACTGGTAACTGTACTGGTGGAACATTTCTGGTCCCAGTAGACTGGTTCTGGCTTGTTTCTATATTGTGTTGATAGAACACATAAAAATACTGTTTGGGTTTTCATTAATTAATTGTTTCTAAATTTTTTTTAATTTTCAAAAGCAGTAGATTTCAGTTATAAAACAGCATATAAGGTTGACTTACTTTAAAATGGTACGTTTGGCCCATCAGTGGTAGAATCATTTGTATGGCTCCATCTAATCTGGTATCACTTCTCACACCAATGCAATGCCATGTCATGGTAACTTCTTTTTGGGTAAGCCATGAATATATGGCAAGCCAGGTCTGACAGTTGAATTTGTTGTGCCAATACTGAAAGGAGTATTGTTGGCATGGTTGCTGGACATGTGGAAGGCAGCCTGGTCAGTGACTCTACCAGCCATACCATAATGTCTACCACTAAAATCCACATCATGCCAGGTACATGTAGTCATATGCCAGGCAAGATGGAAAGATCTACCACTAAGATCCCTGTAATTGTACAGCAATGGAGCCATATGCATGGCTAGACTGATTGATCCAAAATACAATCTCCAAACTGAGATGGCTGGACAGGCTAGCATGGATCCAGAGTGCAATGCTGTAGTATAGGATGGATTCAATGAATCAAAAAAAACAAACAAACAGCCTATTAGCCTACACTTGCAGGCCTGCAAGCCCTGTTTGGACAAGCAGGAGGCACATGCAACCAATGGGCTGCCTAAAATGGTGTGGGTGCATGGGGTTTACCCCTTCCCCATGTATCAGAAAAACTAGTGGAAGTAAGTGAAGGATACAACAGCAAGATTTTATTAACTGTCTCCTAAACCAGTTGATGCATCTATAATCTGAATCTGGAAGAGACAGTTGTAAATACAAAACCTTATTGTTCCCTACCCCCATTTCCACAGAAGTGATACTAGCTGATGGTTGCAAATGCAATACTGTGAAGGGGATAGGGGGTAAAGGCCCCCTAGTAATATCCCCATCAAGGCTCACAATAGATTCTAGCTTTGTATAAATACTTCATATGTCTTCAAGATTTTCCTTTCTCTTCTTTGCCTTCTGGCTGATTTCAGCAAGGCAGTGGCCCATACAGACATATTGCGCACACACTACAAGGTAAAGATGAAGTACAACTTGTGTGTCATCCCTGGCCTTGAACCTTTTTGCATTTACTGCACATCATCTGGTGTGTTGTACCAAGTGTTCAAAATATAAAAAGTCTAAGAATGTAACAAATTCACAAAAATATTGGGAAAAAATTAAAAAATAATGTATACTAACTTAAACAACTGATTAATAAACAATAGTCTACATTTCTGGACAGATGGTTAAAATTTAGATCAATAATCACATATAATGTTAGCTGTATGAAAGTGAAGTTTAAAAGGTAGCAACACATGGTAGCAGCATGGTGATGTACTTGTTAAGAGTTACTGCCCTTTGTCTATAGGAGAGAAAAAAAAATGATTTTGTGTTATTTTAGCAGGGCTGGGTTTGGGAAGTAGAAGATTTATATCCCAAACATTAATGTGATACCTTTCTGTGTGTTTGATTTATATTTTTAACATAACTTTAACAATTTTTTAGTCATGTCGCTACAATGTCTGCAGTGTGACAGTTTACAGTAATGTCTAGCACTGGGGCATCATGCTGCAGACATGTACAATGATGTCTCACCCAGTCACATTATCCTGACCCCAGGCCAACCAGTCCTAACAATAATCTCTTAATGCCAAGCGAGGCAATTGTTAGTACCATTTTTTAAAGTCTTTGGTATGACTCGGCCAGGGTTTGAACCTGTGACCTCCCGCATCTGAGGTGGATGCTCTAACCACTAGACCACCGGAATGGTCTGATATGGTTTCTCATTACACACATAAAAAAATCTTTCGCCTTTTACTAAAGATTTCCATGGAGTTACTAATTTTAGAGAAAAGTTTTGATAGACTGCTGTATATGTTTGCGACATATTGGACATTTTCTAAAGGCTGGTGCACATGGCTCACAACATACCAAATGACCACATGGAATAAAAATTACACTAATGGGATTCTCCATACAGATTTTACATGTTGTCTGCTCCTTCAGCCTTTTGTTTTCCTCTTCCAACTCTCCATAGTCTGAAATAAATTAGATAATTTTGAAAAGTAAGAATTTTTTAGTGTCTTAATGAATTTAAGGAATTGACAATTTTCTTATTCCAGACATGATGAAAAGTCTAAATTATAATTGTAATAACTTTTGCATACAAGTCTGCATTACAGTGAGATAGAAATATATAATGTTAGGATATCCTCCCATTTTCTTGAAATATAAAATACCAAATTAAAAATGTGAATTGCAAAGAATTATTCCAAAAACAAAAAGATTGGAAGGCTTAATTTAAACAAGAGTCTCAATAAGGGAATGATGATGTATTAGCAGAAAAGAATTTCAATGAATTCAAGAGGAGACAATTTCTTCCTTTTAAATTAACAACCGCTGACACCATACTTTATTTCTTTAGCAATAACCAGATTTTCAAGTTAGCTGATGTGGTCTCCATATTGGATGTAAGCTTGGTACCATTTTCACTGATCGGACCAAACCTCTAGAAGTAATGATAAGATTTTCAAGGTAGCCATTGTGTCAGTCATATCAGAAATCAGACTAGCACTATTTTCATTTTGACCACAAGTCTTCCAGTGATACTCCTGTCTGATATGATCATTTATACAGGAGAAACAAGATTTTCAAGTTGGCTAATGTGACACATACTTAATGTCTGAATGGCACTGTTAAGGCCAACTAGACATCATAAGAGTTTTAATTGAATCCCTCATGTTGATACAAACTATCATTCTAGAGGAGTAGTGATGTGGTCATATTGGAAGCCAGGTTGATGCCATATTTGTTTTTGAGCAAATATGCATCATAAGAATTCCAGTATCCAAAACCTCCTGCAGAGATGCTGCCTGGATTTAGTCAAATGAGGAAATTTCATCTACTTGTTACCAACATAAGGGATGGGTGGGTGGATGGGTAGGAGAAACAAAATATTGGGGTACAACCATAGTTTGATATTCACCAACCACTTAAATATCTATCCCTCTTATTTCCTTCTGCTAATTCATAAGGTTCTATGTAAAACAAAATCCTCAAAAGATATCCCCTCTATCTGTATAAGCTGTAATCTGCTAATAGTTTATATTAAGCTAAATCTGTGTATCTGTGGGTGAATATTATGTGCTGAGAACCCCTTTCACAGTCTGCTATCTGAATGGGAATATGCAGACCTAGCTTACCCAACTTAAGCTGAGAAACTGTTCTTCATTGTAGATTCTTATTTATTCAATATACTGCATAGAGTACATTTTTAAAAGCATGATCTTGAACTACTCCCTGTTAAAGTGGAGTAGCATTAATAAAATTATTGGTTTATATCAGTTTCACTTTCCGGTAGAACAAGCAAAGCAAAACTTAAAGCATGCTAGTCACCAATACTAATTCAGTGAATAAAATGGGGGGGAGAGGCTAATCTGAATCTTTTAAACATTCAGTACATGAATAAAGTGTACATAAACTTTCTAAACATTTGGCACATGAATTACCTCTATTTTCCATTTCTTCTGGTTCTAAAGAGTGAAATTCTTCATCTTCATCAATGACTGCAGCAACTGCCTGTGCAATGGCCCCTCGCCCCTTTGACTGACCTCCCACTGCCCCACTGGGTATCAGCCCTCCCTGCTTAGACCCCTCTTGATTCTGAGCTGCAATCTCTTCCCCAACACTGCCATTTGACACACCTGGCAGGTAAATACAAAAATATTAAATGAATTCTTAATTAAATATGCCTTTTTGCAAACAATAGGAGTATATAATAACTAGTATTCTAAAGCAAAGTATATCTTTACATTTCCCTGTAGTATAATACTAAGTATATCTCCACATTTCACTGTAGTATAACATTAAGTATATCTCCATATTTCCATGTAGTATAACACTCGCTATCAATCCCCACCATTTATCATAAGATAAAACACCCCATGTCAAAGACCACAATTTTCTGTAGGATAACACTCCTATTATATCCCACAATTTCCCTGTAGTATAAGATACCCTATCAAATAACACCATTTTCCTTACCAGATGCCAAGTGACATGACTGGAATCATAACAGTGCTCTCCACAAAAGTAAGGTATGTTCCAATGAAATATAGTTCAGAGGTTCTGTCTTTCACTATATATCTTTGTAAGTTAGGTATATCAAAATCACAGAGGAGGGCTCAAGCCAAGCCAGAAGAGAGAAAATCAAAGGGTTCTGGATCCTGCTGCCAACCATGTGGAAATGTTGCACAACAATATGTATGCATGTGTATGTATATGTACACACACACACACACACACACACACACACACACACACACACACACACACACACACACACAAACACACACACACACTCACTCACACACACAAGGGCAACATCCAAAGTCACACATAAATACACCATGTGAAAGGGAAAGGCCAAAAATCAAATGCAAACACAATATATTATTTCGCTCTGTCAATTTTTATACAGACTTTTACTATGGAGCAAATTTATTTACTTCTGTTGTTAACATATATAACCAGTTATGTAATAACTCATTTAGAAATGTATTAAAGATAAGCTGTCTCTGAAAGAACCACTGTTTCCAGCTAGCTTGTACTCATCTGATAAAGACTGTTCCCAGTTAGGATTACACTTCAAAATGCCTGATTCTGTCACTGCAAATTCTCATTATTTTATAGACTAGGTGCAAGTTAAATTTCTTAATGTCAGTGATTAAGGCATTTACTCCAAATATTTTTAACAACCCAAACTGTCTATATGGGGAAAAATGCTACTTAAAATTTTATGAAATGTGATAGAGAGGAAGGAGGTTGTGTAGAAGATAAAACAGGATTAAAGAGTCATTTAAGGAAAACAAGCAGTTACATTTATAATAATTTCAAATTACACTGTATACATCTTAACTATTAACAAACTGCAACCTTGGTATAATATTGAAACCACATGATAGTAATCAAAGTATAGAGAAGTCTATTTCATGGTCCTTTCTGGCATGCATTTAATGACTGCCAGGGCCACAATGCAAAAACTTGTATGTAAATATACCACACTATGTCTATACTTATAAATGTATTGTATATCTATGGTAAAGTTTAAAAAATTCAATCATTATTTATTTATTGTTAAATCTATACAATTATCATCTGCATGTACAAATCAAGGATGATAATGATTGGACAAGTACCTTTTTAATTTTATGCTCAGTACATTTCATTGCAATTTATGGCAATGCATCTACTGATAAATTAGTACAATTTTTGTCCCCATCTTATTGCTGTGTTATGTAAAGTAAACCCCTCTCCTTTTGGCCCTCAAGTATCTCTTGCCTGGAACATGCAAATCAATGCCGAAAAGAAATAGAGTGGTTAAGACCCCTGAAGCTTTAGAAGATGAAGTAACTGGTAGCTAAACTTTCAAACTTCTGTCAGTACTTTTCTTTTATAATGGTTGTGAATGTGTGCTTCTTGCATTTCATACATCATAAACAAAACTGAGTGCATTTGAACGGTTGCTGAATTTACTGCTCCATGTTGTAATTATTTTTCAAAATTGCTTAGTACTTTAGAAAAGAAGAAATGATCATCACACATGCTTTCCTAATGACTTACAAAATAAAAAATGAGACAAACAATTTGCACATTAAGTTTGGCAAACAAGACACAGCATACTTCTAAGCAAAATAGAATAACCAAACTAATCTATGTTTAGCACCTGTTGATTTTGTGGATGTGAAAACCAATTTGTTGATATAAAAATATGACGAAGAATAAGGAATAAAATCCAAGAAGAAATATACTATAACAAGTTCCTCAAAAGGACTGATATACCCATCCATTTGTATACAAGTCAGATATACTTTCATTCATTAGCATTGAAGACATGTTTTTCAACCTTAAAAAGCAGGTGTTCCACTGCTTTTGTTCCTAATACTGTTAAATAAAGGGGCGGCATGTTGTGATGTAATAACACAGTCTCACACCTAGAATTCATGATACTCGGTCATTATGAAAGTTAATACAGGGGTAACAATAACAGCTTGCATTTTACTGTAAAGCTGTAAATTGACTAAATCAAATGGGTGCATATCAAAACATATAGAACTCTCTTTTTAATTCACCTGCAACAGTGAATTGGTTCTCTGGTTGTAAAATAATTAGTGGTTGGACACCTATACCAATTTTGTTAAGTTTTTCGGTATTAACCCATTCTATCCTGATTACACTTCTGGTCGTAGACTCCTTTTGTATCCGGAATACACTTTCAGTCATAGTTTCACTAGGTGTTTATGTAGCATCTCTAGAAACATGTGTTATGCATCACAAAGACTTGTGTACTTCTTCACAGACAACAGGAAATGGTTAAAGCATGCATGCGCAAAAAAAAATTGAAAAAAAAAACATGGTTAAAAACAAAACAACTGATTTGAAAATCGATCGATAAAATGATGGACAACAACTCAGATGTGAACATGGATATTGATAGCGAAGGTAGTGACATTGAAGTTGATGATTTTGATGATTCTGAAATATTTTTATTGACTTAATTGATGGTTTAGATGTAAATTGTAAATGAAGTTGATAAAAGATATGGTGCATGACTGCATCTACTTTTTGACAGCGCTTTGGTCAATTACACTAACTTTGAAGGATTTAAATATGATTAGGTCTGGGGTGATTTTTTTCCTTGGTTGCAGCCACAATTTAAATTGATTGAGGGGCAACTGTTCAACACCCAGAATAATACTTACCTAGTGTAGAT